CCCCAAAACCCCAAAACCCCAAAACCCCGAACCGGAATACATAAATGATGGATAAGTTAGTTATTATTAATAATAAAATGAAATTTGTCGGTTTTCTAATGACCTTTGTTGTCATGGTGACAGCGAATATGTGCACGAATGAAACTCAAGCAGCGAAGGCAACTCTATCTGGAAGTTTTGGGATCCCTGGATATAGTTATCTCTATTTGTTGGATATTTTGGAGGATCAAACAAGAGATTCACTCTATTTTATTGGTTATTTTCAGGAAACTACTCCAATCGGCACAATCATCTATCAGTCAGATCCCAATCTTGACAAGATCAAAGTAATGACTTATGATATGGAGTCCCATTACTACGCTTATGCAATTGATCCGAGTGGAGACTTCATCTATGCCCAAGTTTTAGGTACCAGCAAGATAGTTGAGATTAGGACTACTGACCTGGAGATCTCGAGAGAGCTATCAATTAGTTCTGCCACGGTGAATAGATACTCGAACTTGGAAATAAACAAAGGGTTTTATTTTAGCCTCGTGATAAGCTCAGATATGCATACTTGTCAGTGGGATAAAGTAAATACTCATCTTGACTGATTTACTTTTGGAGTTAATAGCCCAACGAACTTAGCCTCGATAAATAGTGATCTTATATTCTTTGGATCTGTTGATACAGGGGTAGATCAGTACTATTTGGTCAATTATAATTTTTCAGATCCTTCTGGTTTTGTAAGGAAAAGAAGTATTTCGTGCCCAACTTCGGGTTGAGCAAGTAGATTTAGCAATTCAATTTTGAGTAGAGACGAAGAATGGATATACACAATGATTTTATATAATGAAAATTTTATCTTTCATAAATTATCAGTAACTAGTGGGAATACTCAAAATGCTGGATTTATTTCAAATGATAATGGATATACTTATAGTTACGCAATGAAAGAATTCAATGACTTCATTGCTATTAATATTCGTAGTGCATCTTTTGCCTTCTATTTTAAATTAATTTTGATAAGCACAACAAGCAATGAAATTTTCAAAGAGTATAAATCTGTAGACTCCAGAGCTTATTCAACTGCGAGGTTATTAGGAATACAAAGGAGAAGAACTAATGTATCATTGAGGAAGAATTTACACTAGTACACCATATTTCATCGCAAGGACAACTCCTTACAATATTGGACAACTAGACAACCTCGAAGAAGCAGCCTCCACCTTCACACCAATTACCACTAACTATCAAGTAACTGCAACAGCATCTAATCCAAATATTATCACGAGTACTAAGACTCTGATTATTTCAACATCATCATCGGTTATAACGAATGATATAACTTCGACAACAAATCCTTCTTTCACCTCTGATGTGGCTCTATGGAATGAAGACTATATTCTGACAGTTCAGGGTAATTCTATAGTTCAATTGAACTTTACGTGGACTTGAACCCACACTACAAACTCAGCTAGCATTAGTTTCAGTCTAGCTCAGACTGGGTCTAATGCAATCCCTGAGTGGGTGCAGCTGGATGCAGTCAAACAAGAGCTGCACCTCAACACAACTCCTAAGCTCACAGTGGCAGAGACTTTTTATTTTTCTCAGCAGTTCTCTTTTAATAGTGAAGTTTACTACAAAAAGTTCGAGATCACTGTTGAAGAGTGATCTATTCAGAATTGTAAACTCTGAAAACTGGGAGATTCTAATATTTGAGAGACTTGAGAAGATGGTTATCAAAACGCTAATGAACAAACATCTTGCTCAGAAATTGCTACAACTTCTGAGGTTTCTAGATCTTCTGCGACAACAAAAGCAGCAGCTGCTTTAACGACTTCAAGCATAATAATCGCAAGTTCTTCATCTATTCTTTCACTATCATCCATCAACTCAATTTTTAGCATTATGAATAGTCTGCAGTTGGCGATATTATTACCTCTGGTTCCTGATTACTTTTCTCTTAAAGTGTTAGATATTCTAAGTGGAATGGGCTTCGCGATGATGTCTTTTGATTTTATCAAGTTCGAAGATCTTCCGTGTGCACAAGATCTTACCGACTGGGTGTCATACCCTCAGTCTGACCAATACTTGAACAGCCTCGGAATGAGGTCTGGGAGCTCGGTTGTCAACTACTTATCACTAATGGCTATTATTTTACTTATTGCGGTTACTCATTTTGGTGTATATTTGTTGTGTGTATGAATTCAGAATTCCAAACACAGAAAATGTAAGAAGTTTATGAAGAGTCTTTTCCAGTTCTTTACATTCAACATTTATATAAGGGTATTCATCCAAGCATTTATGTTCACTACTTTGTCAATATTTTCTGAACTATACAACCTGAATCTCTCGACAACTGTGACTAAAATATCCTTTGGGTTATGAGCAATATTCTGAATATGCACAAGTATACTATTTTTTCTGTCGTTCTATATGTATTATAAGTCGTTTCCTCAGGTTAACTCAAAAAAGTATTGGCCATGTGTTGAGTACTTTAATGGGATAAAACCAACCAAATTCTCTAAATTATACTCAAGTCTTTTTATGCTAGTAAGATTATCATTGATTTCCTTACTAATATTTGGACAGTCTATTGGTTCACATGATAAAGCCACTTATTTCTATTTGGTAAACATTGCATACGGAGCCTACTTAATACTTGTAAGACCATTTGAAAATCTCCAAGACAACATAATCGAGATTATAAACCAGATAATTTTCTGTTGTTTGGCTATTCCTCTATCTTGGCTAAACACTGAGGAAGCCTGGACCCCATTCTACGAAAAGTACTACACAACAATATTTATAGTATCTCCAGCTATAGGGAGCATAATCTGACTAGGTTTCCTCATTAAATCAATCATAGTATACATTTACAAAAGAAAATCAAAGAAAACCCAACAAAGCATCACCCCAAAAGAACCCTCTCCAAACCAAAGAGCACCCCAAATCCAAGAATTGCCCAACTCCAGACCCCCTCGCTCCATTAACCAGCCTTCCTCGAGCATGAGCAGAAGTAATGCTCTGATATTTCCTCGCCAAAGCGGCCAAACCCGGCCACACAGAATGTACTACCCTCAAAGAACTCCCATGAGGAGGAAATTAAATCCTCGCATTTAATTATTTACCAATCTCTCAACTGTGAATTCGTACTTGGGGTTTTGGGGTTTTGGGGTTTTGGGG